GGAAGAACGGTGACTCCAGCCCTGCCCTGGGCAGCCTGTTCCAATGCCTGAGCACCCTCTGGGCAAGGAATTGTTCCTCAGCTCCATCTAAATCTCCCCTGGGACAGCTTGAGGCCGTTTCCTCTTGTCCCGTCCCTTATCCTTTGGGAGCAGAGACCGACTCCACCTCCCTACAACCTCCTGCCAGGCAGTTGCAGAGAGCGATCAGGTCCCCCCTGAGCCTTCTCTTCTCCACACTAAACCCCCCAGGTCCCTCAGCCCTTCCCCATCACACTTGTGCTCCAGGTCCTGCACCAGCTCCAGTGCCCTTCTCTGGCCCCGCTCCAGCACCTCAATGTCTCTCTTGCAGTGAGGGGCCCAGAACTGAACACACGATCCGAGGTACAGCCTCCCCAGTGCCCAGCACAGGGGGACAGTCACTGGTGCTGAGCCAGGCCAGGGTGCTGGTGACTTCTTGGTTGCCTGGGCAAGAAATGGCTGAGCCGTGCCTGTTCCGTGGTGGGGCAGGACAGGGCTGCGGGGGGAAGCACTGAGCTGCTTGGTCTACCCTGCAACGCTGCCCTCGTCTCTTTCAGATCGGCTGTACTTTGCTACACTGCGGAGTAAACCAAAAAGTACCGTAAATACCCACTACTTCTGCACCGACGAGGAACTGGTCTATGAAAAGTAAGTGTTGCAATCTGTTGTGTTTTGCATGTTCAAAGTAGTCACCTGAAAGTCTTCCCGAAACACTTGAATACTTTATAGAATGTTTTTGTCCCGTTTAGCTCCTTGCACATAGCATGAGTATAAAGTTATCCTGAGTATATTTAGACACTAACTGAAACTAGTTCAACAAGATTGCTCTGTTAAAAAAGCCAGCTACAAGGCCAGTTAAATGGCTTAAATTGTGGTTGGGCCTAAAGGAAGGATCTCTGAGCTTTGTAAGATTTGTTTATAAGGTGGAAGAGATCTCTTAAGACTAATTACATCTTATTAAATTGCATCTTAAATAGAAGGCTGTCGTTTGGTGTGAATAGATGAAACAATAGTTTGTTTTGCATGCGTTTTCCTGTGTAGAGAGTATGAAGTGTTCACCTTCTATACAGAATCATAAGAATGCAAAACTTAAATGTGCACTTGAAGAAATCTGCAACTTTTCTTTAGAAGTCTGTAGAAGGTTTCGAGACAGTACTTCCTGTAGGCTTTTGTAGAACAGCAGAGAAAGTATTTCTCTTAAGTAAAAGCTTCACGTGTTTGGAAGATCATGAAAGCACTTAGAAGGTCAAAAGTAAAATTTGGTATAGTTTGAACACTATTAAAGGACATAGAATATGCTAAAGAAAGTAATTGCTGTGGTTAAACAGTAGCTGCTCTACACTGTGTTCCCAGATCATCTGTTTCACATGTGATGGTGTATCTAAGCCGCTTGACAAGGGGTTTGCTGCAGAAGTGAAACAAAAAATGCCTTATTTTAAATAGAACTTTCCATACGAGTTGAAGAACTTGTGAGCATCAACCATTCTTCTTTCCCTTCTCCAGTGACTTCAGTACTGCTGCTGTGAAGGTGTAAGCCAGTCTTGGTTTCTAGCTTGCTTTCTATGCACAGCTTACAGTTTTAGGGCTTGTTGTCTACACGTTTTGAGTCTTCATTATCTTCAGCTGTGTGTCATCTAGTAGAGTTCCTAATGATTCACTCCCAAAGTTGACTTCTGTAATTACCTGCTTGGGTTGGGAGTAGGTTCTGTAATGATCATTAAGTAATTCACATTGGAAGTGACCTCAGGAGTACCCTGAGGCGAGGCTGACCTTGCATCAAAAGCAGAATTCAACTGGGAAGGCCCTGAGCAATTTGCTTTACATGAATATGTTCCACTTTCTTTAATGAAAGTAAAATTGGATCTCTTATCGCTTTCAAGACTTCCATGTTATGCTTGACCCGAGGTATTTTGTTTCTAATTCTTAATATGCTTCAAGTAAGGGTGAAGAAATCTTGTGTGCAATTTGATCTTGGGGTTGGGAAGGTGGAGCAGTTCTATGCTGGTAGCTACAGATGATTGCACTAAGCAAGGGCTGTAGCTGGGGTATTTTGTGTGAGGACACTATAATTTTTAAAACAAAAACAACTGAGATTTAGAGGGGGGAAGATGTGAAAAGGAAATTCAATAAGTATACTCATAGCCCAATCAATTACCTGTTAACCACATACCAAGGTCTAATTTGACACCAGATATAATTACAAGGTAGTGGGAGGAAGCAAAGTTTCCTTTATCTTTTAGGGCACACCTAAAGATTTTGGATATGTAACTTGCAGTGTTTTTCTAAATGCAGAGGTCCTAACCTAGCTGGCCTTTTTTTTTTAAGGCATCATCCTCTATCTGATACCATAATAGCACACTCCCTTTTGTGCTCTCAAAGTTCTAAAACATACCATGAGGTACAAATTAAGTGACAGTTACTAGGTGAGTTTTGTGTAATAACTGAGCTCCTTTATGTAACACTGCTAAACTTTCCCCTGGTATTTGTATTGCAGCACCCATCACTATCGGTGTTTGCAGTATTTGGTAGTAAAACCATGCCAGATCTTCTGGGTTTTTTATGTCAGCCTGTTAGATTTCACAGGCTGTACAGCAAGTGAGGGGCCTGACATCAGGGGTTGTCTGTAAGTGGTAGTGGAGAGTAACTTTAATACACCAGCTCAGATGTCCTGCTCATTCTCTTGGAAGTGCAGCCTTCTTTCTCACAGTGATAAGAAATGCTTGCTGCATGATAGCAAAATAACTTCTTTGGAAGTGAGTTTTGAAGTGTTATGGCTCAGAACAGTGGTTTCCAGAGTCTTCATTCTTGCTTGTCGGAATTTCATGACCACTTCTGTCTTTATTCAAAAGAGTTTTCAGATTGTTACGAGGAGGAGGAGAAGAGATGTCTACTCAGGGCCACAATCCTCAGCACCTGTGAGGCACACAGCTAGTTTTGTCAAGAGAACTGTTTATTTGTTTAGATATACATCATTCTAGTGACAAGACAAAGATACTTCGTTGTGCATGGAAGTAAACAGCTTTGGGCTGTTACTCTGTTAACTTTGGTGATAATTCGTAAGTGTGAAGTGCTGGAGAAAGTTTAGCTGACTGCTGAGGTGTCAGTTTGCCTTCACTTCAGTGATACGTGATCTTGAAAACCTCATGAGTATGTAGGTTTGGGGTTGTCTGATTACACAGAGCATGTTATTGGCTCACATAGTGCTTAGAATCCCCCTGCCTTGCTTCCCGTGTTTTCCTCACTCTTGAGAAGACATCAGGAAGTAATAGTGTACATTGGTAGTATACCCCATTTATTAAACAAAGAGCTGTTGTGCTGGGTCTGATGGAAGCTTTGGTCTGAGAAATGCTGACGTGCTCCTGCAGCTTGTCACGTGGCTTAGCACTAAATTGTACACAAGGTGTGGTTATGTAAAGGCTCGAGAACTTTAGCCTTCAGTTTCACTTGGAGTTGTCAGCTGTTCTCATGCATTCATAAGTGCCTCAGTTAAACATTCACACCTTTAAAACGAATAAAGATAGGCTTAAATGCTTTTAGGAACATCTCAAATGCTGGGTGACTAGGAACTCGCTACTAGAACTGTCACTGTCGTAGTTAAATGTGTTGCAATTTAACCTTGAACCTATTATGCTAGGGAAATGGTATGTAAATGCCTCAGTTGATGGTATGTAAATTCCTCGGGTGAGGGAACAAGAAACCTGAATGAATCTATCCAATTCTGAATTCTCTTTTTATGATTGTTCTGTTTCTGTAAGATTTTGTCAGTCTCTTTCTGAGACTCTGAGATCCCTCCTGAGAACGGAGAAAGGCTGCCCTGCTGCCTGTAAGGGAATACAATCTTTCAGGGCAATGCAGTACAGGTAACTATTATTTCAGGAAAATGGGGTTAATGTGAAATAATCCAGCTTGATGAAGACTGTCATTTGGCAAATAGACAAGGCTTGCCTTGGCAAGACCTCAATTAATGAGTTAGGCACTTGTAAGCAGCTTTTTATTCTCTAAGAATAGCTTCTTTCATGTTTCACCTTTCAGTAAACAGATCTGGGCTGAGAATACTACACTTGACTGGTTAACTCGGCTTTCACGTTTTTATCAAAGCAACCTTTTATGTCCTTTTTGTTGTTGAGTAGTTTCCTCAAACAAAATTAAAATTTAGATAATGAGAAACAGGAGTCTCTTACTGATAAATTATAATGGCAGCTTTCCTAAATCCTACTGTTTTTATTGAGTCACTTGTTCTGACTCTGGATCTCTTGTATAAACAGCTTTTGCAGATCTAGTCTGACATGTTGTGTGCAGCTGTAAAATTAATCCTATATTCTCTGTACATCCTGGTTTACACTAACACTTTCTTTCAAGTCATAGAATGTTACTTGCCTGTTTCACAGCAGTCTTGATGTTAGCTGCTGCTTTGAGTTCAAGCAGCAGTAGAGTTAAGACTTGAATGCTTAGCTACAGCACTATTAAATGAGCACTGTTTGGACTTTGATTTGTAGGACGTGTTTCCTTCACTCTGTGTATATGCAAAGAAGCAGTTTCCGTTTCCTGTGAGAAGAGTAAGGGTTAGCTTGTTTATTTTTACTTTGGCTAAATGCTGCTTTTCTGTGGCTATCCAGTAACAGTGCTTGCATCCAAAACCTGAACTTCTCCATTGTTCTGTGGCTTATTTCATTTGAAAAGAAAAAGAAAACTTGAACTTAGCCTTGTTATAACAAGCAGCTGTCACTTCACACACAGAACAGGGAGTTCCTTGTCCACATCAGTAGCTTTTTGGATGTGACTACTGGATGAACAAGATAACTTAGTGAGTTAAAGTCAACAAACAAAAAAGAAAGTTTCCCAATTGTAACTTCTACTGATGTGAATGTAAAAACAGAACAGGAAAACTTCATATGCTAGTACCAGCTTTTGTATGTCTAATTCTTACACATGAGTATTTTGTTTGTTTTTACACGAGCTTTATTTTGTTTTCCATCTTAAAATGGGAAATTTTAAATTCACTGCAAACAAGAACATTGGAAGATCAAAGAACTGAGAGTAATTTTTTCCCTTCAGGCACAAACTGCTGACATAATTTTATGCTTGAAACTTCGACACCTATGGTGTTCTCTTAAGTCCAGCAGTTTCATAAGTTCAATACACACATTGCTTTACCATATCTATCTTCATTTCTTTCTATGGAAAAGAAAAGCAGTCACCCAAAGTATTGAGGAATTCTTCTGTTGGCAGTAAAAGGGGTAGCAGGATAAAAAAGATCTGTTTTCTAGGCTCCAGTTTTGTACTGGATGGGAGCACAGCTTGATATAATAAACCCCTTATGAGAAACTTGGCTTCTGTTCAGGTGACTCTTTTTCCATAGAGAGTAATTTTTAACATGACCTGAAGATTCTTCTATAGGGAAGCTTTTTATGGGAGAACCTCTTCACTGATAGTTTGTTCCTGACATCAAGGAGCATTGTATCAAAACTGTATCTATCTGGAATAGCTATTTAATTATCTACAATTTGGATTTGTGTTCTTGTTAGAGTTTGAAGAGTCAGAATCTTGAGGATTTGAAACATGCAAGGGGAAATGGAGTAGCTGGTGTTTTACATAGTCCAGAGCCTCTATGTTATTCCTATCTTCAGATGCCAGCAGTAAGGTGACAT